TACACTTTCCGAAGTATCGGTTTTGGCGATTATGGGCGCAGGTGTGGGCGTTGCCATTCAAATTTTTTATCGATTGCTAAAGGCGGCTACAAGTAATATACGCACGGTTCTAACTCAAAAACTGGCATATGCCGAAGGGCAACGCCAAAAACCTACTAACCAAATTTGGTGACTGTTGCTGTTGACTGTTGTTAAAATTGTGGGAGATGTGTGGCATTATCGATTTCCTAGCCTCCTAGTGGACGTAGCAACAGTCTGGCGCAGACAAGTATATGTTCCGAGTTTCAAGTAACTATTTCTTAGGGTGTTGAAAAAAGTTGCATTCATATAGACAGAGTATCAGGTATCAAAGTATAAAACTGTGCTTTCCAGCTGGTAGCTTGTTGTCGCATTTTCAACAAATTTCTTTTCGACTACCATTTTCGGAAACACAGCTTGAATGCAATTCTGTATGGCTGTCCTTGTGTGCAGCAAAAGTATTTCGCTACGTACGCTACGTATGCGTTAACAGAGCTAATCGAGCAAATGTTTTTCAATTTAGACATACCTGCAAAGTTTTGAGCTCATATTCGAACATTTGTATGGATTCAGGTAGAGGTACATTAAATTGAAATTGAGCTGAACTCAACTTTTCAAAGTCACTGATGCGTATGCGTGACAAAGGTGAAGGATGCAGTGTCAATTGAACATTCCTTACGATACATCTTTTATTAAACTAAAAAGTTAAAATAAATTTAATTGAATTGAAAAAGAAAATGTACACAGAATTTAAGTTTTGATTTTATTATTACTGATAACTGCAATAAAATGAGGCAATCAGATACACTCAATTGTTGTACATTGCAACCCCACGTAATGGACATTCACCATATCCTTAATTATGTCTTAACAACAAGATTGTATTTAAAGAAGCGCCTCTTAAAATAAAAATTATAACTCAAGTGAGAGGGAAACAGCTACGCTCCATTATTGGGTATAACCTAGTTAAATGAAATATTTTTGATGTATCTCAACGAAAATTGTTAATCTTATGCTAAAGTTATTACATTGATTTCGACCAGCGAAATTTATGGTTGAACCAAATTCGAGGACTCCTAGAGATTCTGCAAGCAGGCCGTTACTAAATTTTGCACAAACTTATAATACTGGGAGTGGCAACAGAAACATTCGCCAACGAACCACAAAATACATTAATTACCTTTTGTCAAAAGCAGTGGCAATCAACTAGCAAATTATTGGCACGTGGCCACTTCGACTAGCAAGCTGGCAGAAGGCAGAAACCAAAAAGCCTAGGCGATTAGATGAGCTAATATCCAATAAATACTTTGGCTGATTTATGACGAAAGCCCCCAACTCCCCCTGACCAAGAAGGCGAGCGGTATTCAAGTAGGACTCGCTTACTGTGCCCCATCTGTCATAAAATTCATTTTATATGCAGATAAAATACCAAATTACCAAGCTTACAACTTTGTCACATTCTCCTATTCTTGCTCTCTCTATCTCTCAGCCACAAATGGAGCCCATTCAATTAGTGGAGCTGCTTGTGACTTTGCACAAAGTTTACTACTCGGGACCGCGGACAAAAATGTTCTCGATGCGTACTCAGTCTGTTTAACAACCTACGTGTGCCGCATTGCGTTTGCATAGCATATATATATATAGTATATAGTATATATTTTGACTATTCTTACTCAGGATTATCATTAAATTCAGAGGGTTGTCTATCTAGTTGTTTAAACAAACTGATTTCAAAGATAACATTGCCTGCAAAATCTATTGAAAGCAACTATAATCTATATTCATGGGTAAACAAAAACAGCTTGAGCAAACATCGCCTCTTGGGTAGATGCAGTGGCTGTTGAAATCGAGCTTATCTTTGTTCAAGTATCTTACTGAAAGTATTTCAAATGTTCGCTTCTACTAACAAAATTGAATTGCATATCTATAATTCAGCATGCGCATTTCGTCGAGCCGAATGGAATTTATTCTTGTTTCACGTATAGTGGCTTTCAATTTAAGTCCGACCATGAACAATTCCTCACATAACTCTTGTGAGGATATGTCTTAAAAAGAAAAGAGAGTCAAAATAATTGTATTCTATTTTATTTATTACAATAAAATGACAAATTACAATTTTGATTTTCGAATTCAGCGGCGACTTAAAGAGCAGCTGATCTACATCTCTCTGATTGACAACCAGTTGGCAGGCCTTATTGGTGCAGGTGGCAACGCCCCTTGCAATCGAAGTGCAATCGAACTACAACTACAACTGTAGCTGCAGCCAACTTCACTGGCCTTCGATCACTCTTCTTCTACCAAGCATCTTAGCCGCTCACGAGAAATGTTTTCTAATCAGCGTACATCTCAAAATTGTGTGGAAAATAAATAAATGGACTCCATACCGTACAGAGTCAACTCCACAATATTATTTAATTAAGTTTTATTTAAAATAAATATTTTTGGAAATAAGTTACTTATTTGTTTGGATTTCATTTCATAGCTTGCAGCTCATCGCACGAACAAATGCTTTGTAATATTTATTGGAATATCTTAAAGGACTGTGAACGCCACCAGGCCTGCTGCCAGCGATGGAATAAACCAACAATAGCGTGAGTATGGCAATGGCGAAAAATAATAAAGCCCTGTCTGTATCGAGAAGCAGGAACTAGTAAGAACAAATCGAAAGAAATATATTTGTAAAATTATAAGATTACGAACGAGCATCCTACCTGATTAAAAAGGCTAACTCTTGTGCGACCTTCCGTCAGTATAAATATATGCTGTATATTGTGCATATATATTATATAATCTATTAATTATAATCTTATGGGTATTTTGAGTCCATTGAAGTCATAACATCATATTACTATACTTACATACTTTCATTAAAATGAAAGTATTTTTTTTAGTTAGTTAATTATCTGCTCATGGGAGGAGCCTTAATAAAACTTCCATATTTCGATAACGATAGTGAATATTAAAGTAAGAATTAACACCAATTGTTAATCTTCTTTATCTGGGCACGTTAGACAAACACGAGTAGCGCATCTCTAAATGATAGTAGTCCTCGATCGATATCGTGAGGTCACCTCTTGAAAGTTTTCGGTTTGCTTCCCTATGTTTCTGCCTACAATTTTTATTTATGTAACGCTCTCGCAAAAGAATACGCCACGCGTATTCGTTTCTGCGACAAATGATGGCTAGGATTCTACCTGAATATTTTTACCAACACCCAGCTTTTTCCTCTTGCTGCTCAGAGATAGAGTTTCGTTCCTGTATTGTGCAGTTTCAACTTTCACTTGGTATGTAAATACTTTCAATTGTTCTTCCTACTTGCATTTTTTTTGGCATTGCTGACAGCGCAAATAATTTGTGTGCTCTGAAGTGATGGACACGAGCTGAGTGGATGTCACACTTGAGACTCATGCATCAGTGAGTAATGTTCTCACAGCCTCTCTCCCTCTCTCCTTCCATCCCTGTTTTCTTTTTTAAAGCAATCTCATGATTCGTTATTGACTAACTCAAAGTTCGGCCTGCGCTTGCTTTGTGCCAGTGCAATTTGTTTAGAAACCCAGAAATGAAAGGAACAAACTCTAGCTGCTGCGATACGTGTGTAATATTAATCAAGGCAAACTTATAATTAAAGTTACTTTCGCCAAGGTACGAAACGAATTTTGTGTTGACTTGGATTAGACATGAAAGAAAAATACCCAAAATGAAATATAGATATATATATGACACAAGATTGTGAAACTCTTTTGCATTTTAAATATTAGTTGTTCGATTCACCTCGCTAAATTTAAGTATAAATCAAACCAAGTTGTTGATTTCATTTGTTTATGCTGCAATATTTCTCTTTTATGCAGAAGCGTACCATGTTCAATTATTGTATTGTTTGCTTTATTTAATTTTTTTGTTGCTTTTTTTCTGTCTGTCTTTGTCACCGTGTACCATTTGCCGTGTCTGTTGCACAAATAAATTGGCTACATTTTAATTTTCCACTAGATTTGCGTGGCTTTTTGGCACGTGTTTTATATGCTCTTTGCCCTTTTTTGGTTCGCTTTGATTTTTATATTCAACATTCTTGGATGGGTGTGAGAGTATGTATATATATATGCGTGGATTTTGTCCGTGGGCTTGTGCATTCTGTGCCAGGTTGTTTGTTCTTGCTGTATATTTACGTTTTTACATATTGCATATACATACATACAAGCTTATGGCCAACATCCTTTCGCAAATCTTTGTATATTCTGAGTATTTTTCATGTGTGTTCTTTATTCATGCTGTGAGCTCTGATTGTTGGCTTTCGTTTTAAGTCTCGCAAGTGGCACAGTAACTGTTGCCTGGCATCGAGGCGTATGATGAATATATTTTTGATATCTACGTTGGGTGTTGGTGGACAGTTTATACAGTAAACATGCCTTTGCAAATGAACTGTTATTCCTGTACGCCAATCACGCAGTTCTTTTCACTTTCCTTTCGTTTTAATTTGACCACTAGCTTACAAACAGGAACAAGAAAAAATAGGAATATTTCTGAAAATAATTTTCCTATTCTCAATTTGAGCAGGCGACGTGCCCATTATCAATTTGATTAATTCTATTGTTCTGCCAAATGAAATGGAAGACTCTCGCTCTCGACGAAGTGGGCGCTGCTCGCAACTTGGTCATGATTTATGAATGAGATAAAAAGTCTCAATGGCAAAACTTTTGCCTATCTCCCCAGCGACAATGCAGACGTCGTCGCCAGCAGAAATTATTTTTGGGTATATACCGTCGGGATGACAAGTGTTGTTGCCATATGCGGGTCAAAACTAAACACATTTAGCACTGGAAAATTATATTCGTCTTCAGTGTTTGCCAAATGTCAAGGAGCCGAATCAATGACCACATAACCAAATGTTAAATTGGCTTATTAGACGCGTGGAAGATCAAATAAAGTTGCCGCCAAGTGGATTAGGTTTCAGATGTGGCACATGAGCCAAATGTTCAATAGAAGGATTAGGTTGCAAACTTTATAGGTAACACAGATAAATAATACAATTAAGGATAGTTACATTTAATGCATTTGAATTTCGGTTGCTCTTGAAGTTGTAATCGTTGGAGTTTTCACTCAATTGCGGTCAAGAACGCGAAGCTGCTTCTCGACACACTCGCGACTTGCTTCGTCCAATTCGGTAGCCTGTATATATTTATGCACGCCAATCAGCTGCTGTTTAAGTGCAGCAAATGAGGTCGAGTAGAGCATCTTGTCCTTAATCTTGGCTTGCATTGGGCACCAGAGCATCATAAAGATCCTCTCCTTTAAGGAAGTGGACGAGGTGCCCTGGCACTGATGATGGTACGCATAGTCATAGACAGCATAGCGGCACTGTTCCGGTCCCCCCTTCCGTAAATCAACTAGAAAATCATCATAGCCAGCATCACGCCGACCCACAATCTCAATGCTGATCTCACTCTCCTCTTTTATGGCAAGGATCACATAGCGATGCTGCTTGAATTTGTGTATCTGCTCGAAAATGTCATTGCACTCCATAGAAACTTGAATACCTGACGTCATGTTGTTCCACCTTTTGTGAACGGATGCATTCACTGGCTCGTCAAATTCAAAGAAATCGCGTATCGTTTATTTACAATTTATGTGCTGGCTAAGTTTTCTTAAAAATTTCGATAAGTTGTGTGCTTCTCTCGCATTGGTGAAGGAAATGAAACTTACGAGACTAACTGTGTAGACTCTAAATGAATAGCCTACCTGGTAATATGAATACACATTCACATCTCATTCCAAGCAGCAAGATTCGATTCAAAAAATCATTTTACGAATTATACGTCTTAAAAAAGTACGGAATAAGTTCACGACAAAATTATAATACATTCTGTAAGGTTACGAAAAAAGAAGGCATTTATCCGTTCATTATCTTATAATTTTGCTTGTGTATATATATGTATATGTGTATATATGTATATGTATAAAGTTACCAAACTTGAAAGGTAAAGGTTAACCGCCTACAATTTAAGAGGTGAAGCTACCAAGCTTTGAAGTCAGATTACCAAGAAGCTGGTAAGAACATTTCTTGGCAGTGCCAGGTTTTTTTGGAAATGGAGTCACCAAATTTAAAAGGAAAATTGTAATTATATTTCAAATGTAAATGTCATTAATTTAACTTGTATTTTTTGAGACTTCCAAAGAAAAGACGAAAATGAGCCATTGCCAATAGCGAACGATCTATATGGGAGATAGTATATGCATTTTTGAATCTGAATTAAATAATTATGTAAAGCTTGTATTACGCTCAACTTGGCTGTATTTTTAAAGAGTGTCAGGAAATGTAAGCATAATTAATGAATTCTGCTGTTGCCATTTGATTTCTATATGCTTTTACCCCATGCATATTTCAGAGTGCTTCATCATGCATGGCTTATACACGTATTCCCATCAAAAGTCACCCCAATTTGCCAGAACCAACGCGTAAATCGAGAATCTCTTATGACGGCTGAGTGTGGCCATAAAGTAAAGAATATTCAAACGAGAAAGGAAAAACTCCAATTAGGAGTATTATAGTCGAGACCAGAGATGCTCTGCATGATGAAATCACCACATTCGATTAATAAATATAAATTTGTTACTAAGAAAGATTTTCTGGAATAATATTTAATTTGGTTATGTATAAAATTATTAATTTATTCATTTAATCTTTTGGCTGCAGCTAGCTATGTTTTGAATTAGTTTTATAATTAAAATAAATTTAATGGCACCCTGTTTTTATTAAACATTTTATGGTTACTGGTTAACACAATATGAATAACAAGAAATAACAACCACATACCATGAGACATCCTGTAAATGTCACAAGGCTCTAAATCATCAATACTTAAAGCCATCGATTATAATGTGCAAAATGTATACTAAACAGCCTTAAGAGTTGGCTGGCCTTAAATTTGATTTGCTTTGAGTATTTTTGGTGAGTATCAAAAGCAATGGGCAGCGTAGTAAAATTCGTTTTGGGAACGTTACGGTGTTTACTACTAGGGTTTCTCCACTGGAACAACGACAACAAATTGTGGGAATTAAAGACCACGTAAACAGAGCCACCCTGTGGCCAATATTCAGCGGGGATTTCGCTTTTATTACGCGTAAATGAAAGACATTTGTTGTCGAATGTCGCACAGGCGTATGGAGTGTGGGTCTGGGACTGAGACCGTGACTGGGACTGGGAATGGGAATGGGTGAGTGGGTATTCACATTGGGTATGAGGTTGGATTTGGTGGCTAGAGGAGAAGCGGACTGCGGGGATGGTTATAAAATGTTTTACTCGAAATTTAAATGCGAATGATTAACAAGTAATCGAAGCATCCCTAGACACACACACAAATAAACAGCATGGCCGGCCTGCTTTCAATTAAGTGTTCAGGCATTATTCATGAGTCTTTTGCTAATGAACCCAAGTACTAGCCCAGCCAGGGCCCCCTGCAGCGGAACGCAAAATGGCAGAAGTTCACTTGAGTTTAATTGATTTGAGCCATTTGTTTAAAACAACAGCACACATACCCGCAAACACCCAAACATATTCGAGCTCTAAGCACAACAACAAAGAAAGCAATTATAGAGGCGTGCAATTATTTTATTTTCTTTTATTACTTTTATTTTGATTTTCGTTTTGCCCACAGCTACGCTCATCTACTTTTTGTGTGTGCTTTTCATACCGGCTAAGCGCACAACTGGGATACAATTATAATTAGTTTTTTGTTTATTGAATTCGAGTGCATGTATTTTGAAAATGTTTGCCCTCAATGAACATGTTTACACATACAACGTTTTTAGGAACTCACTGGTTGCCAACCAACAGACAATTTTATATTTTCCAATTGCCAGGTTATACAAAACAATTACATACATGCAAATTAAAGAGAAACTATGGATGTGCAAATAGAATTTTTTATATTCACTTTAGTTTTTTCTTAATTAAACCGTATGGCAACTAGTGGCAAGTGTTGAAAGAAAGTGCATATACATACGTAAAATCAGCGGGGATATACAAGAATATGTAGTCTACGTAAAGTTTTTCTCTTTCAACAAAAGTCTTAACGACGGGACGCCTTGGTCGATGGCAGCTGTCGGCGGTTCCATAAGAAATGAGAAAAGTTGAACTGTGAAAGAAGTGAGCTAATGACTGATGATAAATTTCAAACTCAACGCAGAGCGGCAGACACCAAGCAAAGTTGAAAGTTGAGAGTTGAATCCGGAGGATGGCGGAATTGGCATTTTGCAATGCGGTGCAATGCAACCTGAAGTACACTCAGAAAAACAAGTAAGAATGTTGAAGTCGAGTGAGTACCCTGAACCCAGTTGTTAAATACATATTCTAATTTTATTGACATATTTCCTCTTTGAATTCTTTGCTCAATCAAATCTAACTATCTCTATCAATAATACGCATATGCTTTTAAGATTGCATTTTGTTTATTAATAGAAAATTTCGTTTAAAGTGGATATGCAAATACTTATTTTTAGAAAAATCGTTTTTGAAATGCAGAAAATAGAAAATTTGCTCTCTCTACTGCTGTGATAAGTTTTTTTTTTTTCTACTTAAATTATGCGAATTTATAAACTACCCAAAATGTTTTTGTGAATGTGAAATCTTAACAAAAAAATATCAGTGGCAAAAAGCTAATATTAGAGTTCTTTATAAACACAAAAAAATACCAAGAAAATGAGAAACATTTTAGAATAATTTACACTGGGATTAAGAAAATAAAAACCCATCTTTTAGAAAGCTTCCATTTTAGAAATATTATCCTAAGAAATAAGGTGAGTTTCCAGTTTCTTCAAATCTAGGGGGATTAGTATAAACCTTAACAATGTATAAACATATGCACAAATATTATATAGACGGATGTTTCAGAGCCTTCTTTGCTGAGTGTAGAAAATCAGATACTTTACTTTAATTGTCAAAAAACCTTATAGTTTTAACTTTAAAACTCAAACTTTTAATTTTTAAATTACAATGTAAGAAAAATTGATTAGATTAAAAATTTCCATGGATTGCATTTCCAGTTTAATATAGCAACAGCCAACTGATAGCTTCAGTTGAGAAACAGTTGAGAAATTTAAGTGCAGTCTAGCAAAGACAAAATAATATAAATATTGAAATTAGTCATATTTACGCAGTACTTAATATTTAAGGTTCAATATGTAAAATATTGATATGGATTAACTGCAGATGCCCAAAAAAAAAACAACATTAAAAGATCAAAGGGAATACATTATGAGAGCTACTCAAGGTAATTGACGTCGCATGTCGCCGGAAATTAAATGTGGTGGGGTTTCTGGTGGTGGGGCTTCTGTGAGCGTACATTCTTAAGGTAACGGCACGACTAATGCGTGATAAATTTCGATTTTCAGTTCGTGACACACACGCAATTCCGTCAGCCGTGTGCCACATGTGATGGCATGTAGTAACATGCAGTCCTGTGTACTCTAAGACGGAGACATCCTTTGTCAATTTGTCTTTTGTGCAGAGCATCGCCAAAGCATCTTCCGTTTCCTTGACATATGTGAATAAGTGAAAGTGGTTTCGCAGCAATGGAAATAGAAAGGCCAGCGATGATCAGTGCATGTACCGAGGTATCTGCTCGATTAGCTCATCAATGGAATCAGCTGCCATGAAAATTGCCTGTACACCTTTAACACAACAAAAAAGTGTTTTAGACTTTTGCTTAATATGAAGCTCAAAGCGAACTGTTTTGCATATATCTGTCTGTAACTTAATTAGCCTAAAATCTAACACAACTGCGTTGCTTATCACCTTCCTTCTCAGGTTCTTGATGGCAAACTTCGGCCTTCACTCTCCTCCTGTTATCCAACGTTAGCGCTATATTCGCACATTTCATTTGCATTTGTAACGCTTTTGAGAAACTTTTAATATTGTTGCGAGATATTTGACTCATTAAATGCTTGTTGAATAACGCATTCCTTAATGACTTTGCAAATGAATTCGTAATGCGTTTCACAACACAGAATTGTTTTTTACACCCTTGCAGCGGGTAGTATAAATAATATGAAATTTGGAATAAATCTATAATAATATGAAATCAATTCATAGGAATTCAATTTAAGGCGGACTTACATTGTCCATATTATAAGTATTACAAGACATTATTTCATTTCGCAAAGTCAGTTGAATAAAAAAATCAACTAATTCTATTTAATGGTTAATCAACTACTTACGAACTCTTAATGCTCGCTTCGTTGAGTACATAAGTGGTAAATCCGTTTCATATAAACGATTTCCTATGAATGGACTTGCAGTTCACAGAAATGCTGCAGAAAAGTAATTGTTGAATCGGTAGAAAAGCCTGCATTTTTGTGGTGCGGTTGACACAAAAGTACCGCTTACGAAGGCTAAAGGTGTATGTTTAAATGTCATTTGTTCCATTCAATTTTGCAATTTTCTTTCCTATATGTTATTTATATATATATATATTCGCCACTTAGTTGGAGGGAATATTGTACTGTCAGTCTTCGCTGAGAGCTGTCAGGTAAAGCGACGTTTAAAGAATTTAATTAAAAATAAAGTAATGTTTATGATAGCTCTTGTTTTGCCTCAAGAAGTGGTTACATTAATTGTTTTGTGTTAATTCATTGAAGACTCCCACATAAACTCCCACATAAATATATTAAAATCTTTTTTCTTGACCTAAGGCTACAAGAGCTAATGCCTCCTTATGTCTGTTAGCCTGCTGTCTCCTGTTAGGTATCGTCATCGCTCCAGGGTATAACAACGTTTTGGTGCTCCTTGTTTGCCCGTTTGCCTGTGTGCTTTGTAACCTCAATAGCACCTAATCAAATTTTTACGGCTTTTGTGCAATTAAACTCGTATCATTGAGAAGAGCAGCACAGAGCACAAGGACGAAGCCGACGCCACAGGGCCTGCCATTTGTTTTCATATTACACACACACACACATACGTACACAGTTATACGAGTGTATACATTGGCCATGTTTGAGTATATGTGAATATTTTGTCACTTATTTGACATAATATAACGAGAATGGTTTTATGGTGAAGAGGTTTTCCAACTCCCCTGCTTTTCAATTTTCACGACAAGCTTAAATTTAAAATATTGGTGGTATAGATGGTTATATATATATATATATTAGATGGGATAACCGATGTGGAAGATGTAAAGCCATGGGAAATGTATGTCGAAAAACAACAACGTATTTTAATACTCTTAATAGGATAGTATAATATTATTTAGACATCGGCACGCCGATAATAGTGTTCCTTCCTATTTTTAACTTTGTGAACAACACGCCTTGTCAACTGTATCCCATGCAAATGAAGGACATGACGGTGACACAGGAAGTTCTTTTTTGCTCGCTTCTGTCTCCGCCCGCGATGTTATACGACCAATGACATGGCAAGAATGACACACAAAATGTATAAATAAACAAACAGAAAATACAACAGCGCATAGCAAGTGGAAGTGGAAGTGATATTGGGCGTGCGTGATAAGAAGATGTCATGACATATAGAGTTTTGAAGCTGCTATTTTTGATCACCTCATTCATCCAAATTATTCTTTTC